GAGGTATGTATATGTTTAATAGCAATAAAGTTGGCAAAGAATTCATTGAAACAAGCAAAAAATAAAAAAAATAGAATTATAATTATAAATCTAGTGGTGAATCCAGTAGTGAATCTGGTGGTGAATCTGGTAGTGAACCTGAATATATATGTGATAATAATACCGATATTGAACTTACAAACATGTTAGAAGATCCAATTCAAAAAATCTTTAAGAAAATTTTTGTTAATGATTCATGGTCATGTAACTCATCTGTTGAGAAACCATATTATTCTGCCGAAATCTATCCTATTGTTTGTTATCAATGTGGAAGTAAAGAAATCTATAGACCTGAGGAAACATGTGAATAACCACTATGTAGTAACTGTGGTGGCAATGTAATGCCAAAAAAAAGACAAAAATAGAAGCCAGGCAGTAATAAAAAGAGTAATAAGTAACCACCTTTGTTAACAATTCTAATCGTTACTACATATAATTGGTTCTATTTAATTAGCAAACACATGTTCGTGGTGCATGTTTGCTTTTTTTATTAAAAAAGTTATGTTTTTTTTTTTAAAAAAAGTAAAATATTATTGTATTGATGTATGCATAATTATTCTTCTTAAATATTTTTCTTAAGTATTTACTTTAAATATTAAATATATGATATTAAATATACATTATTAAATAAATATCTTATTAAATAATAAAATTTTTTAAAATAAAAATAAAAAAAATTTTCATTATAAAAAAATAAAATCCGGGTTGGTGGGTCACTTAAAATTATATATAATATGTAAACCAGAAAATTTACTTATTAAAGATCTTATAAACTTTAACATTGAATAACTTGTGAACCAGCAATCCGTTTTATATGATTTTACTACCAAAATGCTCGTCTTAGTGTGACGATTCTAATGAATCTAAAATTGTTAAATTCTGATCACAGGATCCCAAGATCATTATAGATTTGTGTTATTTTTAATTGATTTAATATATTTTATATTAAAATAACACAAATCTATAACAATCTTGGGAATAGCTATTCAAAATATTGTTTCAACCCTTTTTGCTAATCCTCTGTACCAAATTTAGATTTAAGAAAAAATATCAAATTTTACAAAAACAAGTCAACAAATAGCCAAAACCTCTCTAAGAAGAAAGAAATCTTGAATAAACTCTCTTAGAAGCAAACAGCTCATTTTATTGGTAAATTTTGCAACAACTAGGAATTTTAGAAAATTTTTACAACTTTCGATACAAAAAGTGGGAAATTAGCAAACCCATAACAAACAAATCACTAACTGTTACATTTAAACAATGTGATCTTTTTAGTATAAACAAATAAACAAAGCTGCAAGTAAACAAACAATACAAGTAGACAAACAAACAACACAAATAAGTCGTGTAATAGATTATATAGATGTCGAGTCAAAAATGACTAGAATAGCAGACTTAAAGAATTTTTACAACTCAGAGAAGCAAATTGAAGAAGTATACAAAGAACAAAAATTTGTAACTCTCAAGATAGATAGAGATATAGCAAGTTACATAGGAGCATCTCATCCACGAGTATTACTAGACAGCTACAAATAGGTTCAAGACAAAAGACATAATAAAAAAGAAATATCAGAAGTAGAGGCACAACTTATAGGAGAAGTTTCAATAGAAACTGTTTCCAATCAAGCTACAAGCCAATTCACAGAAATGAATTTAGACATAAAATTTCTAGCCTTGGTATTTAGAAAGAGAGTACATAATGAAGATATTCAAGGCAGCATAGTTGCAAAAAAGAAAGAAACAAATTATATTAAAAATGCATAATTGAACTTCAATGAAAGTGATAGGGAATTGCTAATGCAATATCATGATCAAAATGAGGACTACAAATTTTCATTAATCTTCTCAGAAAGCAGAATACCAGATCATGGTACAGAGAATATAGCAAAACTAATTTCTCTAGTTAAAAGTTTCAACAGTATGAATATAGAGACAGAACAGTAAATAAAGAGCAAATTGTAAAAAAACAACCCAATTGTAAAAAAGAAGTCTATAAAGTCTCTAAAGAATCGAAAGAAAGAAAAGATATATATAGCTTGAGATGGGCGCCTAGAAATTTATTGCCCCAAAACAAATATCTAGTTAATAAAACTGAACATTATAAAGAGAAGAGAAACCTAGAGTTATACTCTACAATCTGGGATTTATCTTTTGGAGTAAATTTAGCAAGAATCAAAAGATGTTTTAATCAATATGGAAGAGTAGAATTATTAGAATGGTGCACTTTGAAAAGATCAGTAGCTGCATACATAAAGATCACATGTAGAAGCAAAGAGCAGAAGCTAAATCTGCAAAATGTTTAGGCTATACATTTTGAAAGAGGCAAGACAAGCAGAATTACAGCAAGTAGATTTGATGTTAAGGAACTTGAAATAAGAAAAAAGTACAGATTGATATTTAAAAACATTTCTAACTTGGTGCCTGAGTCAGTTCTGATAGGAAAATGGATTTGCAACTGTATACTATACAGATTGGCACAGTAAAATTAATAATCAATCAAGACATGTTGCACTTAAAGTGATTCAAGATTGAGCAAAAATTTATCCAAAAATTGATGAATTTCTGTGAAATTGGTTATGAGTATCCTTTGTTCTTGAGTAGAGATGGGTTTCATGCACACGCATGATTCCTAAATCATGCACATTAATGCATATGATTCGAAATCATGCGTATTTTATCCTATCTAAATTTTATATAGGAAAATTAAAGTATATTTAATTTAGGCCAAGGTGTATAATACCAGGCAAAATTAAAAAATAGGAATGTAGAAGTTTTGAAAAATTCCGAAAAAAAATGAATGAACATAAAGATGAGAAGGTCGGGAAAAAAATTTTGGAAATATCCGATATTTTCCGGAGGGAAAATATAAATCAAAATAATTATATCATGCGATATCATGCGCATTAATGCGCATGTAATTATAAAATGTGCATTTTTCCCATCTCTAAATACTCTAAGTAAGACCTCCCGAAGTGCACACTCTATAAGTGCACGCCCTATGTAAATTCTTTCTAAATGCATGGCATAGCTTAGCCTAAATTATAAGAGCACTATATATTTTGTTCTTTATAAATGCACACACTTTCACATTTTGCTTTTTTTTACTACGGTCCCGAGTGGGTGCACTTATAGAGGTCTTACTGTAACTCTAGTAATTTTTAAAATTTATAACTTACCTTACATTGTAACTTACATAAACTAAAATGTAACTTACATTAAATTTTGATAACTTACACAAAACGTCCAACCTTAGTTTTGATAGACGTTTTGAGTTTTTTAAGAATTTGAGCGAAGTTATCTCGGCAACCACAGGCAAATTTTAATGAACTTTTTTTATTTGTATTCTACTAATGCGTATAATTCAATAAAAAAAAATTCTATCGAATTTGACCTGGTGTTGTCGTGATATCTTCGCTTTAAGGTCAAAAGGTTTTAATTTGGATGGTATGATTAGCAAATTTGGGGATACGAATAGCAATTCCCTTAATTTAAATCGAAAAAAAAGGTCGAAAAATAAAAATAGAAGCTCTATTACGATGCAGCAATAATTTCACAATCCGATTTCTCAACAGTTCAGCAGTTAAACTCACACATACGTATGTACATACTAGAGCCAGCATGGGTACTATGTTTTAATAGTACGTGTGCCAGTTTGAATTTTGATGCATATAGTTAGTTTATTAATTAGATATGCGTGATAATTTTTCTTTAATATAAACACCCGATAATAAACTAAATTTTTCGAAAACGTAAAATCCGAAAATAAGCTACTCTTCATTTTTTTGTATTCAAAATTGCTTTAAAAAGTAACTTATTTCAGGAATAGACAGTATTTTCAAATGATCAAATAGGTCATCTCACTTTTTAAATAACTAGTCATTAATCATTATTCACTTGAGTCACGAGGTCATTTACCATCCCTGATATATATACTACTTTTATATTAGACGTCTGGATATTAAATAAATAATTGAATAAAATAGATTAACAGATAAATAACTAAATTATCTGGACTTTTGATGCTAAAAAAAGAAATGAAAATTGACAAAAAAAATTTTTTACAAAATAGATTAATCTTATTATGAATAGGATCAAACATATTAATACTACATACAATCTATAACCCAAAGTTCTTTGCAATTGAAAGCTGTAAAGACAAAACATATTGAAGTATTAAGCCTGGATCTCTTTCTACTATAGGCTTATTCCTATTCAAAAATAATAATTAGTAACAAAAAGTTATTTAACCTAACATACTCGAGTAGTTTTAGACAAAAACGCTATAATTTGGTATCGTTCAATAAACAGTAATCATATTTTGAGTTTGCAGTGAATTTTTGTTAGTGAAACATCACGTTCTCCTTAAACCAAATAAATATGTTACCAGAGCAATTGATCAACGCCAACCAGTCAAACGAATTTCTTATTAAACGGATTTAGAGTACCTAGGAAATGACAATTAAATAGACAATTTTATTTAATAGGGCGATTCGTGCAAATAATGTTTTTTTTTGAAAAGAGTTCAAAGAGCGTACAGCTTCTAGTTTTTATTAAAGGTCTTTGGGCCCTCTTTAAATATGACTTCAGATAAGCACTTATACATTTATATTCGTACTAACAGATCCTAAATGATTATATATTCATATTAAATTATTAACCCGCCTATCATCTTTATATCGTGACGCGCAGCAAATTATATTGATATATAAATCCGGAAATACTTATTTTCAATGTGTTACTACGTAGATTTAAGATTTCCTAACAATCAAAACAAGGTGTACACAAATAAACTTATTTTGTTTGTGTATCAATATTTCTATTTATATTTTGAAAAAGTGGCTAAGATTGCGTCATTCATACCTAACCTACTCAACTATTTGAAATAATTTTTTTGGAATCGTTCATCTAATATTAGCCAAGGATAATTCTTCTAAATAAAGTACAGAATTTATTATATCCACATGGCTTTACCAAATGCATGGAATACCGAAGATAAGTCTGAACTTTTAAGCGTAAGTCCAGATGGGCTTACTGTAAATTACACAGGTAAGATTATTGTTTTTTTTTAGACACAATTCTACAGTTACATAATCATTTAGAACATTCGACATTTCATATCTATGATATAACAAATGGTTTAAGGTAATTCGATGAATAATGCTATGATACGAACGAATTGTCCGATTCCTCCACAATGCAAATTGTTTTATTTTGAGATACAAATTGATTGCGATGGAGACGATAAGTAAGATATAAAATATACATAATTTTTTTAATACAATTGAAGATTATAACTTTATTTATACACTTTATCATTTAAAGTTTAATAGGAATCGGATTTTGTACAAAGGAAGCTCGTCTAAATAATTTACCCGGTAATCCGATTTTCATAATAAATGTGGCGAACTTCAAACTCAATCATTTTCTGTTTCTTTATTAAGTATATAATTGTCCTTCTTTACATACGTATTATTGTATTTATAGGATGGGAAGATGGCTCATTTGGTTATCATAGTGATGATGGATATTTTCACAATACGGGGTCTGAAAATTATGGTCCTCTCTTTTTTACGGGTGATATTATTGGTTGTTACTTAAACTTTAGAGATAATAAAGTGTTTTTTACAAAAAATGGACTACATTTAGGTGATTATCATATTAATGCTAAAACTATAATATTTAGTGAATATATCATAAATTTATTTTATTTATTTTTATGAAAATTATTCAAGATACTAAAAGTTTGGATTTGAAAGATACCCTTTATCCGTGTGTTGGTCTGGATCACATGGTGCGTCTATAAAAGCGAATTTTAATGGCGAAAAGTTTGTATATGAAGGTAATACTTAATCATTATAGCTACTATTTTACTATAACATCATGTGTTCGTTTCAGTTTATTATAGAATTTCTTTATTATAGCAATACTTTATGATAATGTTAATAAAACCTTCGTTGATATTGAACGGTTAATAAGGGAAATGAATGAGAAAAGTATTAGTATTTTATTAGAAAAACAATTAACTAAGAACATACAAAGTAAAGAATTGGTTCAAGCTAAAAATGACATTCAGCAATTGCAATCAGAAAAGAATTCTCTAGAAATAAAAATACTTGATCACCAACAAACATTAGAGTCGACAAAAGAGAAATTAAATCAAACAAAAACTCAACTAAAGGAAAAAGAAAAGCAAATAGATGAATTAAAGATTAGTGAAAATCAGTTGATAAAACATATAATTACGCATATAGAACTTACCCAAAAAATTAAAGCCAAACAATCAGAATTAGAACATTCAAAAAGTAACTATATTAAGTCATTTGAAATGTCAGCAAAAAAGCCCGAGATAGAGAAAAATTTAAAAACTTTTCTAAATGCTCAAGAAGAAATAATCCGTCTTGGCCATCTTAAAACTTGTTCAGCGAATCAGAAAAAAGATGCAGAAACTTATTTACAGAAACAACGTGGCATTGCTAATTTAGTTACATTAGGAAATATACAAAAAGAATTTATTATGTTAGAGATGCAATTGGAAGAAGAATTAAAGGAATTGAAAAAGATGAATGAAAAGCTTGTAGAAAGCATGAATGAAGCCTTGGAGGCTAACTTTCAAATGACTACACAATATAAAGAAGAGTTAAATGAATTGAAAAAAGCCGATGAAAAGGCACTGAAGGCTCATTCTACAAATTTATATAAAAATATTATAAAAGAGGAATTAGACCAAGCGATAATCCAACTTAAGGAAAAAGACAAAGAAATAGTTGAAAATTGCAATCGACAGAGAAAATGTTAAATTAAACAAAAACACAATTATGTGAAAGAGAGAAAGAATTATCCGAAAAAGAAAGAGAATTATGTGAAAAAAATAAGGAATTGAAAGAAAAAATTGAAGATCTTAGTTATTACCTTAAAAGGGTAGAAATATTAGAGAAAACAGATGTGGAAATTGAAGAATTGAAGGTAGATATTTCCAAAACACGGGATGAATTAGAAAAAAAGGAAACCGAAAAAAATAATCTAAGTAATAAACTTGAAGAAAAAAACAATGAATTTGAAGACTTAAAAAATAAATTAAATAATGAAATAAATGAACTAAAAAATATTTTAACAGAAAAAGAGAATAGAATAAATGAATTGGAAGCTTCAAAAACTCATCTGATTAGTTTGATAATTAGACATAAAAACCTTGCCCAAGAAATTAGAGCTAAACAATCTGAATTAGAACAATTAAAAAATAACTATACGAAAACATTTAAAGGATTTAGATTTCCAAAAAAGTCCGAGATAGAGAAAAATTTAAAAACTTTTCTAAAAGCTCAAGTAGAAATAATTCGCCTTAACTAGTGTTGAATTTGCTACCGAACAGAAAAAAGATGCAGAATCTTATTTGAAAAAGCAAGGTGGCTTTACTAATTTAGATAAATTAGAAGAAAAGCAAATAAATCTTACTCAATTGGAAATAGAGATGGAAGAATTAGGGAAACTTGATACATTGAAGATGCAATTGAAAGACATAAAAAACCTAGTAACTTGTAATAAAAAAGAGGCAAAGCTTAACATTAATACACCATCTGTAAGTTTTTATACATTTAATTAATTATAGCGCAGAATATAAAAGTAATTATGAACTGACGTTTCTAAACCTCAAAATAAACAATCCTTTGTTTAGCAATCCTTGACACAACCAGCTTTAACACAACCAGTGCAACCACTTATAATTATTAATACATCTGGACCAGAGGATGCCGCCAAAATTCTTCAATCATACAGCTCTTAAGTATAATATTCAAATAATTTTATACTATTGAAAATATGTGAATATTATATTTTAACTAATAGCTTTTAAAACTAATTCAAGTTCAATCTAGAACTATTAACATTTATAATAAATATTGGTGACATGTTTGCTATAGATATATTCTTTTTAAAATCAGAAATTTTTCTAAAAGTAATTAATTTTTTGCAAAATGAACCTTTTTATTCCACGTTTCTATATGATCGCATGCTGGGGGTTTACAACTTATAATCACTATTTTAATCAGTAAAAAAATCGAGTTTCTAGCAATGTTTGTTATTTCCCAGGCAACGCTTGTTATTTCCCCGGGCTTCCGGGGAAATAACAAGCATTACCGAGGAAATAACAAACATTGCTAGAAACTCGATTTTTTTACTGATTAAAATAGTGATTATAAGTCGTAAAGTCCATCATGACATAATATAAAAACGAAGAATAATACCCTTATTTCGCCGTTACGGGGAAATAACCCGGTAGATCCCCACCCTACTATGGGCCCTTCGGGCCCCCAGATGACCGAGGATGTACCTCTTATTCCCGCCGTTGCATGTGTTACGATGTAATTATGTTTATTCAAATTAAAACTCAGCGATCGACTCCCTACTAATCATGATTATTGGGCAAATTGTCGAATACGATAATTTGACAAATGATTGGCTACACATGCCGCAAAGCGGCATGTGTCATTCATTTGCCAAATTACAGTTATTCGACAATTTCATAAATTCTGGAACATCTGCTAAATATTAGCCGAATGATTTTTCGACAGATTCAAGCTTGTAATTTCTGCATAATTGGTACATAAAAATTGCTGTTGTATCACATGCAACACTTATTTTTACAGAGCGTTAGAACGCTTTAACATACTCATTAAATTTTCATCTGAATGTCTGATGTGTTTGTACAAAATGGAATGACAGTTTTTGTCATTCAATAAACTTAGTAAGTAAGATTTAAAAAAGCTCTGGATAAAATGTAAATTACACAATTTGGTTCAAATATTAAAAGTAAGTATATATATATTATTGAAGTTTAAAGCATATTATTTAGGTTTGATAAACGTGATTTCCTAAAAATGAAGTTTTTCAATATATCCGTATCTTTGAAAGTTGAAGGTCTACTAACACTTAAGTTTTAGCAATTTTTCGAACTGATAGCTTTCTAATTTTTTTTTCAATTACAATCAAACCTCCCATGGTCAGCTATATATGCAACTTTTTTTTAAAACAAACCTATATATAATAACCCTTTTTTGTATCCCAAGTGTGATTATATGGAGGTTTTGACTATACTGTATTTGTCAGCGAAGATGCTTTGAAAGATCATACTTTACAGAACTGTCCAATTTAGCAACATTAATTCTACTTTCAATTAGCTGTAAAGTAGCTATGTAGTTACTTTGTAGTAGCTACATTTTTAAAGTTACTATATGTTAGCACTACGTTACTACCTTTTTACTACACTTTTACTATAATTGCTATTATTGACTACTACATTACTACTATTTTACTACATTTTTACTACAATTTTATAAAAAAATTTTTTTATAAAATTGTAGTAAAAATGTAGTAAAATAGTAGTAATTATAGTAAAAGTATAGTAAAAGTATAGTAAAAAAGTAGTCAATAGTAGTAGGCGTATTGCTAACATATAGTAACTTTAAAACTGTAGCCACTACAAGGTAACTACACAACTACTTTACAGCCAATTGCAAGTAGTATTAAAGTTCTAAATTGGACAGTTCTGTGATGTATTTATGTGCTCAACGAGACATATGTACGTACTAAAGTCTTGTAATATTTATGTAAATCACTGGATCGTAAAAATTACTATATATTCTGTATATCAATTTGAATCTATTATGCCGAAATTACGTATAAACTTAATCGAATCGGCCGAAAAATCATTCAAATAATTTTTATAAATTGTCCCTGAATTTATGAAAACAGCTGTAAAAAAAAAAGAAAGCCGGCCGGGTCTGTTTAAAAAGTTTCACGAGAGCCAATAAATTTAATTGTATGGCCTAATATAGAAAATGCCTAATAAATTAAAAAGAATAAAGTAATTTCATATAAAACATATTAGTTACATAATAATTCAATTATGCTTAGTTGAACCCATTTAATAAACCATTTATTTCATTTATTTACGCATAAGCAGTATGTGTTTAACGTGCACTTAATAATTTAACACAGTAAACATTTATTTGTACTATTAAGGATTTATTCGTTTTACGATTATTTGCAGTAATTATGATTGTACTTTTATTGATAAAATATGTTCAATTACAACCTTATGTTGCACTAACAATTTACTTTATTGTACTATTTTTATACTTGGATTGTTTGACTTTAATTTAAAATTAATATTGTTATCATAAAGATTTAAATCTTTCAGAGTCGTATTCTTGCACAGCGCATCTACTAACGCTTTTCTTCCTTCTAAACCAAGATTATTCTTAAAAAGATTCAAATCTTTCAGAGTTTTATTACTGCAAAGTGCATCCGCTAATGCCTTACCTGCTTCTGTTCCAAGATCATTGTTATAAAGCTTCAAAGAAGTCAGAGCAATGTTCTTGTGAAGTGCATATGCTAGCGATTTTCCTCCTTCTGTTCCCAGATTATTACTACTAAGATCCAAATAATTCAGCGTGGTATTCTTGCAAAGTGCATCGGCTAATGCTTTTCCTCCTTCTGAGCCAAGTTTATTCACTTCAAGACCCAAAGAAGTCAGCTTAATGTTCATACAAAGTGCATATGCTAATGCTTTTCCTCCTTCTGATCCAAGATTATTATCCCAAAGATTTAAATATTTCAGGGTATTATTCTTGCAAAGTGCTTCTGCCAATGCTTTTCCACCCTCTGATCCAAGTTTATTCCAACCAAGATTTAAAAAAGTCAGCGTAGTGTTCTTACAAAGTGCATTTGTTAATGCTTTTCCTACTTCTGATCCGAGATCATTGTTATAAAGATTCAAAGAAGTCAACTCGGTATTCATGCAAAGCGCATCTGCTAATGCCTTTCCTCCCTCTAATCCAAGTTTGTTGCCTGCAAGATTTAAGGAAGTCAACGCGATGTTCTTGCAAAGCACATCTGCTAACGCTTTTCCTCCTTCTGATCCAAGATTATTATTCCAAAGATTTAAATCTTTTAAAGTATAGTTCTTGCAAAGTGCATTTGCTAATGCTTTTCCCTCTTCTGATCTAAGATTATTATCACTAAGATTCAAAGAAGTCAGTTTGTTGTTCTTACAAATTGCCTCTGTCAAATCTTTCATTTTTTCCAGCTCAAATTTGCGGGAAAGATTCCAAGTTGCAACACTTTTTTGATCCTCAGCATTATGTTGACTGTTCTCAAGAATTTTTTCATAAAGTTCTAATGCTCTGAGAAATTTGCCTTGCTTAAAAATTCACGTGCTTCTTTTCTCATGTTCTCAAGAATCTTACTGCTTTGCGCTAAAATATTTGGCTCTACTGTGTCAGGTATATAAAGTGGTGCTGATGTCGTAATTCCAAGTGAATTTATATTGTCTTTATGACTTGAAGATATTTCGCTATTTTGATATGATGTTTCAATAGGATGGTATTGACTCAAAGTTTCATTAGGAATAAGTTCTTTTAATGTATTGAGAATAAATTTTGTTTCTGGACAATTATCAGGTTCGTCATCCCAACATTTTTTGTAAAGTTCAATATATTGAAATGGTGTACCTTCTATAGGTTCTTCTCTAATTCCCTGAGAAATAGAAACAGCAAGTGAAATTCCTATTTCAAAGGACTCGAATGGTGGTCTCCCACTTGAAATTTCCCAAAGAATTACACCAAGGCTATAGATGTCAGACTTCATAGTACGCTTATATTTAGGATTCATAAAACATTTAGGTTCGATATATGCCAGCATTCCATGAATGGTTGAGTTGGAAGTCTTAGACATTTCGTTTATCCACTTTGATAGTCCAAAATCAGCAATCTTTGGTTGTTTTTGATAAATTAAGATGTTCTTCGAATGCTAAATCATTAAAGAATTAGAGAGTGATATAAATAAATATAAAATTAGGCAAAATATATGTCACTTACAAGGTCTCTATGAATAATATTATTATCGTGTAAAAATAAGAGTCCGAGTGCTATTTACTTAGCAATACGTAGCTTATCAATCCATTGTAACCTTGTAAAATTTGCTTTTAGATATTCTCGCAAAGTTCCGTTATCAGCGTATTGTAAAACCATATTATAAAATCCGTTGTTATCTAAATTTTTTATCGATAAATATTTAATTTAACATGATTATTATTTCATACTCATAAAAATTTTAAAATGGTTGCTTACCTTTAGTGATCCCATAGAACATAATTATGTTTGGATGATAATAAACCCTCCGCATTAGTATAAGCTAGTATATGAATTGTTTAATAAGAATTTATTATTCTTTAGTAGGATGAATTCAAGTTTCAATATAACAAATAATACCTCATTAATAAAATCTTTAATGATTTTTTCATCCGTGCTCTTATCAACATTGAGACATTTAAGAGCAACCGTTAATTCACTATCTCTCCACTCGTATTTAAAAACCTTTCCAAACCCCCCAGTACTGATTATAATAGGGTCTGTAAATTTATTATATTCGATATAATTAATATGTCCATTGGAAATAGCTTTTTCAAGCCACTTTTCTGGCGTGATTTCCATTACTTATTAGATGTACGTATTAATGTTGGATGAAAACGAAAAGTGTATGCCTGATAAGGATGTCTATCATCAGTCAGTCTAATTAGAAACATAGTGCAGGTCATATGGTGTTGCACTAATTTTTTAATACAGTATTTTATTTAATACTTCACTATGATCAGTTTATAAAATAAATCAATTATTTTATGGTATTTTTAAATGATAAAATAATTGAACTATTTCATAAATCTGAGATAGTAAAGCATAAAATAAAACCGTTATTGCATACTTCGTATGCAATAACTATATAGTA